CCTGCCTCAGCCTCCCAAGTAGCTGGGACCACAGGCGCCCGCCACAACGCCCGGCTATTTTTTTGGTTGCAGCCGTCATTGTTGTTTGGCGGGCCGGGCTGGATTTGAACCTGCCCCCTTAGGTGTATGTGGCTGGCGCCTTAGCCACTTGAGCCACAGGCGCTGAGCCTTGATGACCTTTTTGAAGTTTTAAGTAATAAGAAAGATGCAGGGCAAGCTCTGTGGCTCACACCTGTAATCCCAGCACTCTGGAAGGCCGAGGTGGGTGGTTTGCCTGAGCTCATGAGTTTGAGACCAGCCTGAGCCAAGAGTGAGACCTTGCCTCTAAAAAAATAGCCGGATGTTGTAGTGGTTGCCTGTAGTCCCAGCTTCTCAGGAGGCTGAAGTAAAAGAATCACTTAAACCTAAGAGTTTGAGATTGCTGTGAGCTGTGACACCATGGCACTCTACTGAGGGCAACAAAGTTAAACCCTGTCTCAAAAGAAAAAAATGTCAGGATAAATATATGTATCTGTCCAGTTCTTCTTTATTTTTGTCTTAAGGAACTGAATAATTATAGTAATAATTATAGCTAGGTACTGTGTTTAAGCCCCAAAATGGCATCATTTCAATACTCTTCATCATACTGGGTGCCCAACCATGGGTGTCCAACATGTAGCCATGGCCAGCTCCCATGCTGATTTTGTGAGGACTCTTTTGCTTTATTGGATATCACGAGAAGTATGCATGGACCTTTTTTTCCTTAATTAGCTTTTGTTAGTGTTTGTATATTTACTTTGTGACCAAAGTCTTCCAACATGCAGCGGAAAAGAAGTTGGACAAGAGAAGGTTGTCCATTTAGTATGCCCATTTTTCATATGAGAAATCTGAACCTCAGAGAAACTAAGTAGTCTGTGAGTGGGATAGCTGAATTTTAAACCACACACACACCAGAGTCCGTGTGTGTGTGTGTGTGTGTGTGTTTCTCAAAGTATCCTTGAAAGGCTTGCATCAAAATCACCTGGGCTATTTGAAAAACAAGTTTCTGGATTCCACACCCTCAGTATAGCAGAATCTCTTAGGGTGGGAAAAGGGCAGATAACTGCTTTTCTTTTCTTCTTTTTTGTTTTTTTTTTCTCTCTTCTGAGACAGGGTCTTGCTGTGTCTACTGGCCTAGAGTTACTATCATAGCTCAAGGTAACCTCAAACTCCTGGGCTAACGATCCTCCTTGCCTCACCCTCTCTAGTGGCTGGGACTATCAGAATATGCCATGGCACCTGGTTAATTTTTGTACTTTTTTGTGGAGATGAGGTCTCTTGCTCAGGCTAGCTTAAACTCTTGGCCTCAAGGAGTTCTCCCACCTCAGCCTCCCAAAGTGCTAGGACTACAGACATGAGCCACCACACCCGGCCATAATTGTTTTTTTTTTTTTTCTTTCTTTCTTTCTTTCTTTTTTTTTTTTTTGTTGTTGTTGTTGTTGCAGTTTTGGCCGGGCTGGGTTCGAGCCCACCACCCTCGGTATATGGGGCCAGCACTCTACTCAAATTGCTTTTTTTGAGACACTCTCAAGCTGTCGTTCTGGGTAGAGTGCTATGACATCACAACTTACAGCAACTTCTAACTCTTGGGCTCAAGTAATCCTCTTGTCTCAGTTTTTCTATTTTTAGTAGAGACCTGGCTTCTTGCTCTTGCTCAGTTTGGTCTCAAACTTGTGAGCTCAAGCAGTTCACCCACCTCAGCCTCCCGGATTACAGGCATGAGCTTCTGCGCCTGGCCTCATAATTGCTTTTTTTTTTTTTTTGCAGTTTTTGGCTGGAGCTGGGTTGGGACCCACCACCTCCAGCATATGGGGTGGGCGCCCTACTCTTTGAGCCACAGGCGCCACCCTCATAATTGCTTTTTTTAACAAATACCCAAGAAGTTTCTGATGTTCACTGAAGTTTGATTACATTGGAGAAAGTTATCTTGCTATTTCCTTATTTCAAGAACAGGAATATCTGGCCTGTTTTAAATTTCCTTACATTGTGTTTGTCCTGATGGAATTAGATTGCCACAATTAGCAACTTTTAGGCATTATGCTATTAAAAAGTACTTAGATCATCTTGTTCAGCCTTTTAAGAGAGTCTTGGTAGAGAAAATGCATGAAGTGCATATTTGATATGAATTGCAAAGAGGATATCATAGATTCAAAAATAATACAAGTATTTCATTCCAAGCAGCAAATAAGCAAAATTAATGTTTTAAAATAAATCTTCAAACAGCATTACATT